GAGTCCACTTGAGTGGAAATGGGGGAAGTGCAGCAAAGAAGAAATGAGCTGAATTTGGTACTCTTTGAACTAGGCCATGGAAGCTAAGGATGAGAGGAAGGGCTGGCTGGTCTGAAATGGAAGGAGTTTTGAGCCCATGGGCATTGAAATAGTCCCTGAGGACTGAGAATGTAAGAGAAGGTGCTGACTGGTCTGAAGTGAAGGGAAGAGTGTGATTCCCAAACTTGGCAGCCAGTACCAATGACCTAGCTGGGAGGGCTAGGGCTGAGCTGACCAGAAGCCGACCAAATGAAGAGGAAGGTGTTTGACACTGAGCTGGTGTGAAGCTGCTGCAATATGATGGCTTGTGCTGGGCTGGACTTTGCTTGCTTATGGATGCAGATGCCTAAAGTTTCAAGCAGAACAGAAGATTCTTCAGAGAGAAAGGACCATGCTTGTCTCTTCACAGTACTGGTTTGATAGGGATGGGCAAATTAGAAATTGACTATCTAAAATGGGGGGAGATAAAGGCATAAAGTGGCTGGCTTACACACTTTCATGGGTGTGATTATTCTTAAACTGATGGTGAAGGGGATGTTAATTTTTGAAGTATAAAAGGCTAGAAAAGCCAGGGGGTGGCCAGCGGTGTAGTAAATTACCTGGTATGGCTTTTCTAGCCATACGTTTTTGTAAACTCCATGGTGGAATTTGCTGTGAGAAACTGAATAGCTTCTGATTGTTAAAATCATCCACCTGCAGCATTTCTGTTGAGAGCAGCACAAAGTAATGTTCTGGGAAGTTCTCTCTCTCTCAGGTGCTTAGAATTCTGATGTTATGATTGGCTAGTTTGGCCACTCTGCCAGGCTCAAAAGGAGGCTTCCTAGAGGCAGAGGTCTCTTTGACTGCTGGCTGAAAAAAGACATGCTGCTGAGAGACATGCACTCTTGAGAGACCACACACTCCTAAGAGACACAAGCTGCTGCGAAAGAGACACCAAGGGACACACATTGCTGAGAGAGAGACCAAGAGACACCCATTGCTGAGAGAGTGGCTGAGAGAGACTGTTGGCTGAAAGACTGAGCATTCTTCCTGAACTTGAATTGTAGCCTGGTGCTTCCCTAATAATTGTGAGTTCTCTGTGGCAACTGCAGTGAATTATCGAACCCAGCACAAAGGTGGTGAGTGCTGGAGGAGGAACGGTTGGTGTCAGGGTTGGTGAAAAGGCTGGAGGAAGGGAGCCTGTCTGGCCTCGCAGGGATAGGCCTTGGGCTACTGAAGGTGATTCTGTCTTCCTCTTGTGGGGTTAGAGGAAGTCAGAAGATGTGGCCTCCCTGCCCCTTTAGCAGACTCATAAAACAGAATTCTGGATTATCCAGAAATATAACCATCACCTTCTCCCTTAGGCAATATGTGGAGCCCAACCATGCCCTGTGATTCTCTCTCAGATTTAGATTTCCAACAATAGGTATAGCAAGCATAAACCAGATTGGCACTGGCCCATGTCATAAAGTCTCCCCTGATTGCAAATGACAGGGGATGATGTTTAGGGGTAACAGGTGTGTTTATTTGCTCCTGGTGTCTTTCTCAAAAAGGAGATGTGTTTACTTAGCTTTGTTGTTAAGTTCAGAGAAGGCCTGATAATGAGAGAAGCTGAACTCTCATGTAACAGGAAATGAGGAGTTAGGGAAGCTCCCAGCCCCACCCTACACTCTGGGGCTTAGGTATTTTGATCTTCCTGTATTTCTCAAGAAGAGCTCTGGTTGCCTAGTGCCTAAGACATTTGACTGCTAACTAGAAAGCTGGCAGTTCAAACCCACCAGCCACTCCTCAGAAGAAAGACTGAGCAATCTACTGCGGTAGTGATACTGCCTTGAAAACCCAAGGAGGAGTAGCTATGAGTCAGATACGACTCCACAGCAGTGGGTTTGGTTTTGTTTTGGTATTTCTTAAGAAGATGCCTCTCCTCTGGAGGAAGAAATCCTAAAGCAAAGAACCCTTGCTTTTGCAATTTGACAGTTACTTGGCAGAAGACCCTCTTTTGAAGAATGGAAGATAAAGTGGTAAGGTAAAATTTGTCAGCTGTCACTTTTTCCTCTGGACTTCCAATGCAATTTATCTATATCCATGTTGCTCCGACAAAGCAATTTCTTTCTTGATGCATGCATATTACCAAATTAGCTTTTCTGTTAGTCCACCAAACTCCTTAATCGCAACATTGCTCACCTTGTTATTCTTATAGGGTACTGAACATAGCAGCTGCCTGCCCCCCACGCTAAAGCGGTCAACCTCATCTGAGTTGGATATTGAACTCTCCAGCTGCAACTTTACAACAATATCTGCTCAGATTCAAACTGAAAAAGTCATCATTACCCAGGTGTATAAAAATATCTGAATATTTTAGCTCAATTTACCTCTAACTTTGTTCTACCATTCCAGAAAAACGGAGGAAGAAATCTGAGAAATGAAAAGATATGGAAATGAGAATGATCTGATAGTGGATGAGATCTTGTTATTTAGAAATGATTGCCTGAATTTGAGCCATAGTTTGAGGCCCCTTGTGACTACTCCAGGGTTGGAACTCTCTGAGAGCAGATAATGCCCACAACAGGGATTGTAGAGATGCTCCAGGAAGGAGTATTTCTTTAACTGTCCTGCAAATAATCCTATATTTCTAAGACATGTAGATACAACTCCTCACATACAAAGAAGTTCTGGTTACAGACACATAAATAACATAAAATTCTTTTACAATGAAAACATCTCCTCCAGGAAGATGTTTGAAAGTCAGAGATGGTGCTGTCAAGGGATGGCACTGGTGGTGGAATGGGAAGAAGCCTTTAGTTAATGTCACTGAGGCACTGTCCCTGAGGCCATTTGATGACATAAAATGAGGGGACTGGAGGAGGAGAGGTAAGTAAGCATATAACTCAAGAGCACATTGTAATTTATTTTCTACATGTAAAATAATCATAAGCAAGAATTTGCCTGTGTTCTAGTTTATTTCCAATAAATAAATAATTACGTACAAATGTGCTGAGTTTACAAAATCATAGAGGAAAACCTTTGTCATTGCAAAAGATTACACTATATAATACAGTTTTTTCCATATACCAATGCCTGATTTCTTTCCTAACTTAATTGAACCACAAGATCGTCTCTACTCGGAAATAACATCTAATCTTTCCTACCAGAAAACTAAGCTATAAAATGAAAATTCCCCAGTTTCTTGAGAATAAAGTAGAATTGGCCTACTACTTACTAGTGACCAACACTGAATGTGTTACAGAGGTTTAGAAGCTGTCTGAAATAGTTTTCCTTGAATTTTATTGGATGATAACCTCTGCAGCTCTTGTCAAAGAACAGATTCTATTGCAGTGAGTGAAGCCTGAAGTTCTGCATTTCTAACCAGTTCCCAGAAAAGAGCCACATTTCTCATCCAGGAACTACATTCAGCAAGTGGAGTGGTCCAAGGCAGGAAGGTCTCTCTAAAAGTTGGGGTGAAATTCTCAAGGGCCTACTCAAGGTGGGGCCTTAACTGAACATCTTCCAAGCTCCATTCCTAAGCTCCTACAGCCCACATAACTAGGAGAGCTGATTTTATTTTCACCTTTTAGTCTAGGGGGGACAGAGCAGTGAGAACACAAATGGTAATGAATTGTGCAAAATTTTCATCTACACCTCCTGGGAGGGGCTTCCCTCCTCTCTCAGTCTGGAACAACAATTTGAATGTTTCCAACACTTAAAAATAATAAAGAAGAAGAAGAATGGAAAAATAAATCACATAAAAAACTTTATAGTTATTACTTTTCAGTTCAACTCAAAACAACACAACAATAATAAAATTCAGGCTGTTTTTTAAAAAAATTAAACAAAAAAAATCCTTGGGTTTAATTTTTATAACAGTTCAGCAACATGAACTTCACCAAAGCTTCTCCCATCTTAACCACTGTTAATACTATATTGCTCCAGAATTTGAAATAAATTACCAAATCTGGTGAAAAGCAAATGCTCAATAAGCTTAATTTTTAGTGTTTGGCATCTGCTTCACAGAGTTCAGAACTGGAGTTTGCCCTGGTAGGGAAACTCAGACCACTGACGGGTGGCCAGTCCTGTGAGAGAAAAGTTGGAAGAAATGAGGGGAATAAGGGGCTTGGCTTCACAAATGTCAGAAGGCTGGGGGAAAATAAATCACCAAGATAGCTTAACTGGGACATTAACAAGTGAAAGACATACAAAATGCGTATCTGAGACAAGCAAAGAAAAAAATTCTAAATACTTTAAAAAAATAAATATTTTAATCATCATCTACACACCGATTACATTCACTCCTCCGCCAGGCACAGGTCCGCTGCATAGTCTTGGGCCCAGGGCGAGCGCTTGGGGGCACTTTGCAATCTGAGTCTTAACTGTAAATTTTCTCATCTGTCCAGTTGTTCCAAAATTCTGGAAGAAAGTGGACTGATGTTCCTTCCACCCTCGATGCCTTGCCTGAAATCCAAGAAAGAAGCTTGGGAGGGGGCTCTTCTCCAGTTCTGAAGCAGCTGAACTATTTTCCTTTAGCCAGGGAGCAAGGCTAGGGGGCAGGAAGAGGGGCTGAGGCACTGCAGGAAGTGGAAAGGCCACACTAACACCCTGGCCCCAGGAGAAGGCAGCCTGGCAGTCAGAGTTTCTGAGGCGTTGGCTCTGTGCGCACGCGTTGCAGTACCACCTCCTTTCCAGGGGCGGCACACTTGTACTCGAGCTCTGCCCGCGAGGCTCCCTGCTTCTTGCGCAGGTGGCAGAGGAGAGCCAAAAGTGCTACTACCAGAGATAGGCTAGCGATGGAGATGCCAGTGAGAACGCCCGAATGCACGGGTCCCGAGGTTGGGGGATTAGAGGTGGCGCTGGGCGCTGGGCTGGCCGGGGGCTCCCCAGAGCCATCGTCGTCGCTGTGGATCACTTTACAGTCTGTGCCAGCCTGGCCAGGGAGGGCCGACTCGGGGCCGCAAGTGCAAATGAAGCTTCCAGGGAGGTTGATGCACTCGCCTGGGCAGTCGCCATCGCCGCACTCGTCGATGTCTGTGCAAATGGAGCCCTCGTCCAAGATGTAGCCTTCGGGGCACTGACAGTGGTCTAGGTTGTTGGGATCACAGTCCGCTGGGCACGCGGTCTGGTTGCAGAACATCTGGCACCTGTGAGGATCGTGGGGACTGGGCACGAAACCCTCCGCGCAAACACAGGTGTAGTTAGCTTGGCCCAGGGGCTGGCACTGGTACTCACAGTTAACCCCGAAGCACGGGTCCTGAGGCTCCACGCACTCGCCGTTCACCAACTCGTAGTTGGGGTAGCAGTGGCAATGGAAACCCCCCTGCGTGTTAACACAGAGCTGTGGGCATGGAGTGGGCTCTAGCATGCAGTCGTCCACGTCCTCGCACCGATGCTGGTCTGCCGCCAGCTGGTAGCCTGTCTCGCACATGCACATGTAGGCGCCAGGCATATTAGGGTTTGAGACACAGAAGTGCTCGCAAAGGTCTTGGCACGAGTGAGCTCCGCGCACAGAGCAGGAGCGCCCGTCAGGCTGCAAGGCACCGTAGGCGGGGCAGAGGCACTGAGGATGTCCCGCACTCAAGTTGCACAAGCCCTCGCATCCACCGTTCTCCACGCGGCAGTCCCAGGCGCCGGGGGTCGCCCGGTCCCAGCGCGCCTCTGATGCTCCCCGCAGAGGTGCTGCGCACACCAGCTCCAAGCCAAGGGCCGCCACAGAGGCAGAGCTGCCTACCGGCAGCGCCTGAAAGTCCGTGCCACGGGCCCCGAACGGGGTGATGTAGGTGCCCGAGACGTTGGCATTCGCTGCGGCGCCCAGGGGATTGCAAGAGGCCGCAAAGTGGAACTCGCAAAGGAAGCCCTCAGCCTCTGCGGTGCACGGCTGCTCCTCCCAGGACAGCTCACCAGGCACTGACGCCATGGCCGCTGAGACAGCAACACACAGCGGGCCGCAGAGGGGCGTTGGGTCGAGGTCGGGCCGAGCCCACCTGCTGTAGCTGGTGCGGTTGTCGCTGGTAACCCACTGGAAGCCGCGCAAGGGCCCGACGCTCCCAGAGTCTTGGCAGCCAGGCGGCAGCATCAGGCCAATCCAGAGGCGCTGGCTGTCACCGCCGTCGCCGCTCAGGAGCAAGGAGATAACATCGGCCGCCACCGAGGATCGTACGGTCATCAGGTGGCCCTGCAGGCGTTCGCAGGCCTGGCTGGCAGCAAGGAAAGTCGCAGGGCCCCTAAAGAGCGCGAAGCAGTCGTGTTCAACGCACTGGCTGCCGCGGGGTTGCGGACCAGAGGACGCCGGGAAACCCAGGCCTGCGGGAGCCAGCACACCGAGGAGCAAGACCCGAAGCATGCTGCCCAGACGTATCCCGGGCAGGTAATGGGTAGAGCGCAGGCGCCGCGACCAGGCCAGGATGGCCGGGGCGGAGGGCGCAGGGCGCCGCGAGGTATGCTCTGCCCAGGAGCGTCTGGCCGCCAAGTGCAGCCCTGCTAGGCAGCCTCTGACATGCTTCGGGTCAGGCCAAGTTTTTAAGTGCGCGGCCCTCCCTCCCGAGACTTTGGGAAAAGGAAGGAAGTGAGGGTGGGAAGGGCCGAGGTTGCATTCTCGGATTACTGGGTTCTCCAGCGCCAGGCTCCCGCCCTCGCGCCTGGGAGTACCTCACTAGGATGAGTAAACCCGGAGGGGTGGCTAGGTCCTGGCGCAGTCTACCGCGCAGGCGCTATGGGCCAGGGGAGGGGAGGAGTCCTCTGCTGGGAATTTGTGCGCCTCACTCAGATTAGTTTAGCCCGGCGGGCGCAGCCCCGAAAGAGCGTCTCCCGCCACCCCACCCCTCCCACTCTCTTGGTTCTCTTTCTTTTTTTTTTTTTTTATCATGAATGGGATGTCACCACGGATTTCTAGAGAGGCTTGGATTGCAGGGCTTTGGGAAGAAACCCGGGTTGAGGAGGTATTGGATGGGAGGGAGGGTAGTAAGGGTAGGGTCCAGGGCCTGCAGGACTTTGGGAGGGAGTGCTTGGGACTCGGAGAACTTTGGGAGCGGGTGTCTAGGGCGTGGATTTTCCCAAGGACGCAGCTGAAAGAGAGCGAGCTGGCCCTGGCCTGGGCTCATAGATAAGGGAGAACTTGACGGCTCCAAGAAGACAGAAGGATTCTCCTTGCGTGGCAGGGGCTGCAAAGGAGGGAGGACTGGCCTAACACCTGCGTGTTCCTACGCACACGCTTGTCAAGCCAGCGCCCATTTCGTCCTTTGGGAAAGTCGGGGGCACTGTCCAGCCTGTCAGCTGTCTGCAGCCGCCCAGAAGCCAGGCGGGCAACTCCTGCGGAGCCAGGCCAGCAGCTGTGTATGCGGAGCGAACGCCTTAGCTGGCCTAGTCTGTTGAGTCCAGCTTCACAGATGCAGAGGCCATCTAGTGCCCTAATGGTGTCCGCGGGGAGTCCCTGCGAGATGGGCTCTGTGAGCTAGCAGCAGACCCCAGATGGGCCTGTTAAAGAGCTGTCCTTTTGGTGGATAGATCAGATTGATGCAAAAGTGCATATAAAAGCCACCCACTTGCGAAGCAAAGGGCTTTGGAGGGGATTAGTCCAAATGGAAAGGAACTCTGATGGTGTAGTGGTAAAGGTATCTGGCTACTACCCAAAAGGCCGGTCGTTCAGACCAACTAGCTGCTCTAGCTAGAAAGATGACATAGTCTGCTCCTGTAAAGATTTGTTGTTGTTGTTATGTGCCGCGGAGTTGGACCTAACTCATAGTGACCCTTCCTTGGGTTTCCAAGGCAGTGTCACTACGGAAGTAGATTGCCCTATCTTCCTTCCGAGGAGTGGCTGGTGGGTTTGAACCGCCAGCCTTCTGGTTAGCAGTCAAGTACTTTAGGCACTATGCTATTCAACTTGATGGCAGTGAGCCTGATGTTTGGTGAATCCTTATGAACTGGCAGGGTGGGGAGCGCTAAAAGGAGGAGATGGGAATATCCACTTGAGATTTAATCCGTTTATTCACTTAACAAGAATGGGGAGGGTGGGTCTAAAACATTAGAGATTATAGCAAACATTATATAACGCCCCTACCCTCTTGAAGGAGTCCTGGTGGCAGGAATGGTTAAGAACTGGACTATTAACTGAAAGATTTACTGTTAGAATCCCTTCAGCGGCTCCACTGGATTAAGACCTGGTGATCTGCTTCCTTAAAGATTATGTGTACTCTTGTGTGCTGGTGGAATTGATTTAGGGAGAATCTGACTCATAGCGACCCTATGGAACTGAGTAAGGGGCAGAGTAGAACTCCCCTGTAGGGTTCCATCGGCTATAAATCTCTAGGGAAACAGATCACAGGGTTTTTCTCCCAGGGAGCTGCGGATGGGTTCAAAAGCAGACTTTTGGTTAGCAGCCTAGCACTTATCTACTGCGCCACCAGTGCTTCTCTGTAAACATTACAGCCTAGAAAACTTTATCGGGCAGTTTTACTCGGTCACATGGGGTCGCTATAAATCCGAATTGATTTGACAACACGCAGTGATTAAGCGCTCAGCTGCTAACCAAAAAGATAGAGGTGAGCACCCAGCAGCACAAAAATGTAGCAATCTGCTTCCTTGAAGATTACAGCTTGGAAACCCTATGGGGCAGTTCTACTCTGTCACATAGGGTTGCTTGTGAGTAAGAATCTACTCAAGTCATTGGATTTCAACAGCTTTTCACTCTTGGCATTGGTCACCCTCAAGGAAGAACCAGAAGGCGGCACTGTTGAACTCTAAACACAACCAAAAAAGATTCCTGAGCTTTTTGGGCTGAAAAGTGTTAATAGTGTCAGAATGGGGGGGAGGAATGGGGTTAGGAAAGGCGATTCTGGGAAATCTCTACGGGAACTTTATGGTGGTGTGGATGATTTGCCTCCCTGGTCCAGCAAAACCCTGATTTTAAGAGGGGTATTTCGCATCCTCACCTACCAAAGACAAGCACTTGGCAGCAGGACTATACTGACCCAAGGTTACCGAGGTAGTGGGTGCAGACACTCAGAAAGTGAAAAGGGAAGTCCTGCCTACAGTGTCCTAGGTCCTGGGACAAGCCAAGCCTCCTGAATATTCCCAGCATCGCCCCAGCACCAGGTCAAGGAATCAGGGAGGAGCACATGGATGCTGAGGGCTGATACTCCCCACAGGAGGGAGGTGGCACCTCCTTTGCCCCTGACTTTCTGGGAAGAGGAAGGAAAGACCATTGAATTGAAGGGTGGGGCCTTCCCCCTGTGGGAGCCAGGCAGGCAGGGTTTGCTGACATAAGTTGGCTTTCTGGCAGGCCCACTCTGGCCTTACTCAGCTGGTTCCTGTGCACAGCTGAGGCTGGAGCAAAGCTGCCTGGAGTGCAGGAGATTGACCCTTCAAATATGTTCTGAGACACCTTTGGTATACACTGCTGAAATACCTCAGACAGTGAGGGAAATCCCCTGGTGGATGAATGAAGAAAAAGGACATGATGTATGGCACCCAGTGCAAATGCAGGATGGCTTGTTCAAAAAGTACTAAGAATTTCAAGACTATGACAACAAAGCACTATGACAAGAGGACCCTCTGTCCTACAATGGTATGTGTGGTGTTCAATGATCAAATCTTTTCTCACATCAGGTTTACTAGCTTCTGGGGTGGTTTAGCTGATTCATTACAACTACCTTTGACTGGAGATCCTATGTGGACCTTAAGGCCATTCCTAATTCTTATGGGAAAAAAAAAAAAAAAGAAGAAGCCCACAATTGGAGAGTATATGTAAGACCCCAGTGATGTTGTGAACACTTGGATTGAATCCCATATGTGCTAATATTTCCATATTAGGCTGAAAAAAATGAAGCAACAACTAGATGAAAGTAGAGCATTATTTCATGGGGTGTAGGCAGACTCTGGGTTGCCTATTTGACCTATCCCTCAGGGCTTTATCACTGGGCACAATCTCACATTCCCTTTGTCATCTAGGACCTCCCTCTGCCACTGTGCTTCCCCTCCACAGTTATTTAGGAGTTGTTCTTTGCAAATTTTAAATTGCCTTGTAGGCCTACATTTTTGTCCCTCACTTCACCTTCCTATTTGCACTTCCTGAATTTTCTCTTTGTTCATGGCACAACCCTTCCAGTCCTTGTCCTGGCCCTTCACCCACCTCCTCTGCTGTAGATACATCCTTGAACAGCATAGCCCTCTTGAAGAACACTCATCACCTCTTCACAATTGACACCAGCAACTGTTCTTCTGTCTTTACCCTTCCCTGAAATATTGGCACTTGTTCCTCCTCACCACTTTCAAGATTCCACCTCTGTGACTTTCCACACACTGTCTCCTGTCTCCTGCCCTCTGCCTGCCTGCCTTTTCTCTTTCTGTGAGGTCCTCTGACCCTCCTTCCACACTGGATTGGCCAGTCCTCATGGTTCTCTTTACATCATAGCCTTTGGTGAACTCACCCATTTCCTGTGCAATGACATCTATGTCAAAGGGAATATGGGGTTCTGAGGAAGGAACTCTAGCCCATTCTTGCCTTGTATCAACATTTACCTACTGCCTCAGATGCCTTCAATTTTTCTGTCTTGTTCTTCTCCTAATCTGCTCCTGCCCTAATTTGGTGGTTGATTAATTTATGCTGAGTCCATTGGGCCCTCAACTCTTATTCTTGTTCCTTTTCTCTCTAATCCTGACACCACTTCAACCAATTCACCCTCTCCTCCTGCCCACCCTCTGCCAAGGATAGCTTTCCTTCTTAAGCTGCCCCTCACAGTGGGAATGAGCCTTTACTGCATCTTGACTCTGTGGCCACAGCTTAAGAAGTTTGCAGACAAGGGGCTGAGCTAATGTTTGGACTCTGAGCCCACACCTCCAACTCTCAAGGCTTCAAGGACTATCCTGCTATTGTTCCCCACAGATACCTGACACTACACAAAGCTAGGCTCCTCCTACTGTCAGATAAATGCCTCACCCCTGTCTTACCTACATTCTATGATGGCTCAAGTCTTTTCCTTTGCCCGAAACACTATTATCATTGTCCCTATCTACACCTACTAAAATTTTCCTGTCTTTCAAGGCTCAGCAGACCAACTGCCCTGTCCGGCATGTGTTTCTGAGTCAACCAAACCAGACCTGATTTCTCTCTCTGAATGGTCATAGTACTTTCTTTTGGTATGCTAGCTACTCCTTTTATGTTTTATGAGGAATCATTATCTCACACTCTTTGCTAGATATATATAATCTATGGTTCCATGGTATGGACATACACCTGACAATATGCTCGGTGCATAGATTGTGCCCAGCAGTTATTAGAGCACACGCTGTGGATATTTCTTTATTTTGCCTTCTTGATTGCCTGCCAGAACAGGAGAAGAGACTCAA